CATTCCTCGAGAACCGAGTGAAAAAGCTCGAGGCTGAACTTGAGGATAAAGATGAGGAAGCAAGTAAACGAATACGATGTGTCGAACAAAAGTACAATGCGCTGAGATTGGAGTATGAAGATAGAGTTAAAGACTTGGAGCAAGATTTACAGCGCGCAAATGAACGGAATGAAAAAACAGTTAGATCAAATACGCGCACTAAAATTTTCGAAGAGGAGCTACAGAGGGCGCGTGAGGCGAATGACGAGAAAGTTAAGCTGCTTCAGACTGAAATAGAAGTCCTTCAGGACGCTCTGTCTAAAGCAACAACGGCTGAGGGTGGAAAGGCTACTCGTAGGAAGCGACTTGAGTTAGAGAAACGAGAGACTGACGATGTAATTCTCGCGATTCAACCTCTTCAGGAAAAACTCGAAAAGAAGGAGTTGGAGTTGGAGGATTTGAGGCAAACATGTAATCGATTGCAGCGTGAGAGAGAACAGATGCTTGCTACAGAAGGTCACTTAGTGGATAGGTATACGAGTCCCAAACCAGACCCTCTTGTTGATGACTTAACACTAGAGAATAAGCGCCTTAAGGAGCAGGTCTCGCACATGTCTCTGGATATGGATCAACAACGGGTTCGTTACCAGGCTTCTCTAGCGGAGAGCGAGCGAAGTACCCGGCTAGCTCGCGAGGAGGCAGCTGACCAGCTGGCAAGTGTGCAGGCTCAACACAAACGTGAGCTTGATCAGCTTAAGGCTGGTTTTGCTGCAGAACACGGGTCTTCCAAAATAGCTGAGCTGAAAAGTCAGCTAGCAAGTCAGGAGATTGTTATTCAGCGACTTAAGGTGAAGATGACTGATACAACTGTCAATGCAGAGACAATAGCAGCGGCAAAGGTGAGGATAAAATAATGTCTACTCTGTTGAAGATGTCATTTCCTTGAGCTTAATTGCCGTGTGAAATGTTAGTAGACTGGAAGATAAAATCCTTTTTCCCACCCTTCCCGGTTAGGTTGACTTTGGGTAGCTGCTTATTTCAGCCTATGTTCTTGTATAGTCTATGGTTGGCTCCTACCGCACCCGAAACCTTCCGGAAGTGGCGCGCGGGGGGGAGGAGGGGAGAGGGGGGGGCTAACAAAGTTGTAGAGACGTGTTTATTCGACGACGAGATGGGTTGTGAAGGTTGTTAAAGCGGGGGGAGGGGACAATCATTTGGTCGTGGATCTTTCTTTATCTTCTTTAGAATCCGTGTAATAACCTCATTTAAAAATTTAGGGTTTGATAAATACACTGAAGGCAGCTATCGTCCAGATTTATTATTCATGTGCATTCTTTGACTTGGGTGATCCTTGCAATAAAACTTGAATTTTTGTCTACTCATTATACCAGTTTCCCATTCGTAATGTCCTTGGCTTAGCTTGCGCCTGTAACGGAAAAGCGAATGGCTGGAATTTGTTATGAAATGGTTGGTCATTCGTTGCTGGTATCCATTTCGAACCCAGCTCAACGAAAAGGAAGGAAAAGCTTGCCGTTAACAAGGAACGTCCTATGAATTTTTTTGGTACGTGTTCTCGGTACTAATCGATTTCTTGTTCATGTTAGGTTCGTGAGGAGTCTCTTCAACAGCAGGTTGCTCAACTTCAAACAGATCTGAGACGTGCTAAGAAGATGTTTACACCCGAAATGAACCACTTCGACTCACTAGAGACTAAAATTGTAGCTCTTGAACAAAAGCATTCTCAAAGAGAAGTGGACTTACAGAGGGTTATAGAAAAAACACACCTTACGGCCAAGATCGAGAAAGAAGAAACAGAGGCAAGATGGAGACAGGTGGTACGTCAAAAAAATCGGGAAATCGAGAAATTTAGATTTGAACTTGACGGTATTCTAGAAGTGCTTAGTGAATTGAAACGCCAGGGAGTGGTCATACCCTTCAGAAATGGAGAAGGGTTTGCACCTTAAAGGAAGCCTTGTTTGTTTCCGATACACCATGAGCAGTCTGGGCCCCTGTGGGCCATAATGCTAGTTCTTCACTGTTAAAAGCGCTAGTGTGGTAATGAAATGATGGTGTGAGAGCTGTAGTTTCACTACACTACACAAGCTCAAGGAGACCAAGTGTTGATAAGGATTTATAAACGGAAAATGTCACCAGCCTTGTGGCGGTATAGGAAAGGAATGCGTTTCCAGCTGGTCACTTGCTGGTATGGGTGAAATACAGGAGGCTTGGATAACTGAGTAACACATCAGCGCGCCTTGTAGTACAGATCGATCTGTGGGCGACAATGCAGCAGTTACCTTTCCACGTTCATCAATTGATACATCTCCTAGTGTACGCTCGAACTCGATATGTGCTATCGACTTATTCGAGGTTATGGAGAAGTGAAAGGAAGCAACAAAGTCTAGATCTGCTATCTGTAACCCTTGGAAACGGCAGGAACTTTCCTTTCATTCAACATGTTGAACTTCGCGCCATTAGTCTATCAAAAAGACCCTGTGTTTGCACTAAAAACGACAAGGCCTTGCCTCGAAAAAACAATAAACAAATCACCGCAACAAGAAGGACAATATTTTCGGAAAAGGATAAACGAAATAGTGGACTTCGTGTTGTGTTCATTCCACGACGAAATTAAAGTATATTTCAGATTGAATCATAAAAGGAAAAATAAAAACGATGAGAATGAAATTTCCAATTCTATTTGCAGTCACAAAGGTTTGTTTTTGTATTTCAAGCCCTGCAATGTCTTTACCATCCCTGTGTCTTCCGCTTGCGCTTTTTCCTAAGTTTTGGTCTCCAAACTGGTTCAATAAGATCGTCATCTTCCTCGGGTTTTGTCTCGTCCGCGGGTCTCATTTCATCTTGTTCTTCCTCTGTTGATGGCTCTTCGGGTACTATTAAGGGTTCCCTTTTTTAGAAAAAAGCAAATGAGCCTAGAAGTGAATTTATTGTGGTTTTTCTACATGCTTGGGGTAAAGCACCCGTAAGCATAATAGACAAACCTGAAAATCTGGAGGGAATCAGACATGCTTTCTAATAAGTTTAAGCCAATTGCCTGGTATGAGCAGATCTTTCTGCCCCTTTCGCTATCGAATAAGGGCACTTTTAAGGAATCCCAGTCTTGAGAAGTATGCTAAATTCTAACAGCGTAGTGTTGCAAAAGACCGAAGACCGGTAACATTGCGGTAACATTGCGATCACCATCTTTCTCAGCGCCGGAAAAACAAAACTTTTGGTAAAGATCTTTTCGCCAGAGAGGGTTCGTCTTTTCTTAAATTTGATAAAAATGTAAAGCCTTTGCTCTGATCATGGGCTCTGCTCTCAAATTTCCGTGCCCAAACCACTTCCTTTTCCTTTTTATCTTTCCGCTTACCTTTTTCGTCGTAAGTAAGCCAGTATTAAACTGTAAACCGCGTAGATTGAATGCGAGCAAGCATAGATAGCTAAGGAGCAAATGAAAAAGTAAAACAAATCCATCATATCCAGCGGTGCTGTTGGCTTGTAATTTTACCTAAAAATTAAATAAAACTGTGACTATAACTTTTGAGTCTTTGACACTAAATACATGAAATTACTCGCACGAACTGAAAACGTACTTACGTGATGCAAAGAGATAAGAACAACAAAATGTTTAATTTCTTTTGAAGTCCACTGATATAGAAAGAGGTCCAAAAACAGCTATCCTGGTAGGCTTTTAAAGACTGACCGCGTATCAGCGTTAAAAGGAGCGTCACTTTCGTCTTTGTGTTCCAACGGAAATTCTGACGTAACAAAGGAATTTGAAACAAGGAGCGCGCGCTGTGACGCGCTGAAGAGCGAGCCCAGTTTCGAGTGACGCTCGAGCTTCAAGTCATCCACTTGCATAAGCACTGAGAGTTTGTACTATTATCATGTCTCCAAATACTACACATTTATTTATTTATTTTTTTCACTCATTATGAGCACCACTATGTGAGTTAACTTCGAGATAAGTTAGCAAATTAATTGAGGGGGTAAGTTTCTAAAGAAACTGTGGCGCTGCGTCGGTGGGTGAGTATAACTGGGTACTTATCAACCGAGTTGATAACGTAAATTGGCCACCGTAGAGAAACCAGCTGTTCGTTGTAACTAACACAACTATCATTATAAAAACATATGAATTCAGCATCAACCTCGTCCCAAGGTTTTTAATCCTCGAGGGAGTCGAGGCTCACTCTGCACGTGCAAATCTCTGAACTCATTTGCATTTTGCGGTCTCTCGCTCTGTTTCCGTCCGACGAAAACAAAAACAACCAAAAAAACAGACCAACTATTCGAGTACAACTTCCGAAGCTTGGCCAATGGAAAGGGTTTTTTGTGCTTTTATAACTTGACATGACTGATAACTCGCCTCAAAGGTTTGCACAACTGAACAGAACACTTGGTAGGAATGAGAATGAATGTTTTGTTTAGGATTTTTTGTATCCTATAGTAGTTTCATGGAATTGATAAAATTTTAAATTTACCTTAGAAAGTGTTTCTATCTTATTTACCGAGAGGATGGGATTTCCGTACAGCCCCATATTATTGGAAAACAAAGTCGTAGTCCCAAAGGCAATCTACTGTTTTCGCCACTGTTTTCTTTATCCAAGAACTGTATGGATATTGAATCATGGGTTGGGCGGAAATCTTACTACAGAGGGTAGTTGGTTTAAGCCATTTAACTTGTCCTCCGTTACAACACAATTTACACAAATGAGGTGATGCCTTTTTCTTATAGATAAACGGTTACGAGAGAATAATACAAAGTAAGGCTTTCGCGTGGAATGAGTGGACATGAGAGAATTACACCGAGGTAATAGACCAGTTGTTAACTACCGCCAGAGGGAGGATTACATGGTTTTCAGGGAGAAGCGAAGAAGCATCGGTCGTCGCCAATAGAGTATAAAGGTGGATATATACAATTGAGTGCCAATTAACTGTGAATGAGTAGGGGGGGGTGGACCAAAACTTTCCAGCCTTGGATCGTATAATGAAAAAAGAGAGCAGGTGACCAGGCAGAGGGCTTCTTTCACGTTGATTTATTTCAAACAACTAACAGGAGCACCGTACGTGCAGCGCAGCCTGTTTACCATATTACGACGGATAATTAATAAAACGTTTTGCTCGCTCGACTCTTGATATAGCCGGCTTCGCTCATTTTGTTAACTCTACAAGCAAATCCTTCCTGCAATGTAATTTTCAATTCATCTATGTATGAATTTATTTGAATTTCTGGTTATTCGTTAATATCTTAATGTTTCATATTCATATTTCTTGATTGCAATGTTCTTGAAATGCACTCTTCACAACAATTTTGTCAATATTTTCACCAAAACGAATAACGTCTTTAAGTGACAAGTAGCTTCTTTGTCAACAATGATTTCTTTGACATCCTTGGTTTAGAAAGGCGCCAAATATCACAGGTCCTTCAGGAAACACTATAGTGGAGCTCATTTTAGGGTCCCTTATTTCGTGTCACCTACTCATCTCCTCTACTGAAGCCAATAGCCGGCTCATATGCCTAGGATCTGATATACCCGCAAATTGGAAATGTCTTTCCTCCATACCAGGCATGGCTGCCATGTCGTCATATTCTACTTCAGCAAGACTGGTGATATACATGGGTAGACCTAATGAAATCAGCCACTCTTCCATACTTCCCAAGCTTCCGAGAGGATCTCTTGCAAATTTTAATTCCGATACGTTACAGGGAACCTGTGGGAATCGTAAACAAACAAATGATACACGAAAAAAGGAAAAATTCTTTTTCAGTAACAACAGCTTATCCAATGCATGTTTAAGTAGCTATGAATTTTTTTTTTTTCGCTAATTTTTTTGTCTCGCGCGTGGGATTTCGTTGAAAAGGAGGGACTGCCATAGTCTGCCGATTCCTTGGCGATTTGTCATCAGTGAAGAGAAAGCTAATCTATATTAGTAGATCTTCGGGTATCTTGTCGCAAACGTTATCTGTAAGAAACACTTAAAAGTGATGCGTCACTCTTTTTTTTTTTAACTTACATCGACTTCAATCGTTGTACTTTGAAGCGAAAATAAGTTTCCGAACCGAATCAACCATAAAAAAGGCCAAAAAAAATTCAGCGTAATTTCAGTTTGTCTACTTACAGCTGTTCTACCAGCTTGCTTTAGCTTCCCGACTCTTAATCTCTCCAAAATATTAGCGAGTTCTTCGTGTGATCGGCGGAGTTCTTCAGCGTATCGGTCCACAAGATTCACTGGGACACCCCAGCAACCATTCTAGAAAGAAAAAAAATATTCGTCGGTTAAATACACAATAGAATACATTTACGGCAGTGAATTGCTGAGTGTGAGGTTTCTAAACAATAGCAGTAGTCTGTTGTTAAAAGAAAATACGCACAGAATTAGAGTCGATTTCTCATCCGGGAACCGAGAAGTTTCTAGGATATATAAAAATACCATCAAGAAGAGAAAAATTAAAAAGGACGGCCATTGATAGAGAAGATTGATACGGTCTGGTAACAAACAATTCAAAAAATCTTGGAAGAAAAATTTCAAGATTTAAAATAAGCTGCGAAGCTTAGTTTAGGTTTTTATCACCCATAACAGCGCACTTTCTGACAACGGATTTAAGAACGAGGCCCTTCAAACTAACCAGATTCCAACAAACTTTGAGCTTCTAGGGAACTTTATTGACTCTTTATCTCCCATGAGTGACCGAGACAGAATTTCTCCTTAAAATATCAGTGCAGTATCAAGTAGATAATTGATGAGAATACAAAAAAATATCAACTTGACGATTATTGGTTGATCCTATAGCAAATTCTCCCTGCTAGCATCATAACATTGTATGTTTGGCAGTAAGGAGACTTACTGACGAGATCTTGGGAGTGGAAGGGTTCGTGATTAAGATCAAACAGACGTGCATTATACGTTAGCTTATACTTACCGCATCTGTGTAGGGTTCCTGAGTTAGATCGATGTGCTCTATATGCAGTTTTCTTTCCACCATCTCCCCTAATGAGTGCGAAGCTCGTTTAACTCGTGGCACCGGAACTGGCGGCGAAGAGTGGTCCTCCGCTTCGTTTTTCGAAACTTCTAACTCAGTTCTTTTCGAAATTGACGGCTTACTTTCTACTCTAACCATGTTTGTTCCCATACCGCCGCTGCTAGATTCCCCATGGGTACGCGTAACTCCCGATGTTGCCCCCTCGACAGGGCGTGGTGGAGGCACCGCTGTATACAGCTCATTTTCTGTGTCTTCAGCCTGTTTTGCGCGCGGTCTTGGCTTCGGTTTGGGTTTCGGTTTAAGCTGTGGTTTCTCGCTAACGTTGTGAACTGAAGGCACTTTATAAATCTCTTCGGTTGAAGCCGCTAATTTTGAGTCCTTGCCGAACTTTCCTTGTTTAGCATGCGGAGGACTTGTTTGAGTCTCCACACTACGAGCATCCGTGTCTTCCTGAGCATTTGTTGAATTCTTGGGTCGAGGTGGCAAGGGCGGTGGTCTGTGTCTGGGCTTTTTTACGCCTTCGCCGGTAATTTCGTCGCCTTGTTGTTTTACTGGGGCAGGTTTAAGGTGAACCTGACCCTCCAGTAGCTCGCCTCCTGTCGCTTTTCCTATTTTCGGTTTCTGACTTTGATCATTGTTAAGCTTTGCAGATTCAAGAGTTTTTGTTTCGAGTATGGGGTCATTCGATATAACCTCGTTTGCCAAATCCTTTGATAGGGACGTTTCAACTGCTTGTACATCATCGGACTTCCTACGTTCCTCTGCATTCTTGGAATTTGGTCGTGTAGGTATTGGAGGAGGTGCCCTGTGAGGTACCGACACTGTGGACCCTGGTCTAGATGGCACATCAGGGACCCTTTTCGGGGAACCTGCGGAATTAGATGAAGGAATATTCCTTTGGGTCTCCATCACAGGAGGCGACGCTTGTCTACCAGGGAGGGGTGGTCGAGGCTTCTGATCTTGCTGTAATTTACCTAGGGAGAAAAACCAAACTATAAACAACTGACCAATGTCAAGAAAATGCTTGTAACTATCATGAACATGACTGACGTCTCCATCAAAACTTTGCATCTCCATGAGTAAATAAATTTGCTTAACCAAGTTGCTTTTCACAATTTCAAGGCCTCTTCGTTGCGACGTATTGACTTACTTACTCAGTAACAACTTACCATATTTTAGTACTCAAAATAATGATTCATCTGACCAGGTATATACATTCAAATTATTACTTGCCTGAGATTCAACACAAGTTTCTTTCTTGCTGAGCCAGAAAGTATCATCAAAACCTAATGGGTATCGTGCTTTTTTTTTAAATTTATAAATTGGTGATTCTACAAGGAAGCTATGTGCGTACCATCTCCGCTCTCTGTAGCAATATTGTCAACAGACTGAGCTTGCTTTCCCAAGACCACTTTCATCTCAGACAAGAAGTTGGGTTGCCTGTGTAAAGGGGCACTAGTGACCGGTTTGTCGTCCGCCCTCCCCATGCTATCTACACTGCTGGATGAGCTGTGCTGTGACTGAAATGAACATGTAACAAGACATTACTGAAGTATCATAACAATATACAAAGCTGAGATTGAACTGAATTTCGGTAAAACATCGAAGGTCAAGGCACTGACTTCTGGGGTGTAATTTAAAAAGCGAGAGCAGAATCTACAGCGTAAGTTGAAAATTTGAGAAATGTGAAGCGATTCCGTGATAGAAACTTCGTTAACATTCTGTTTGAGCGCGACTTAGCATCAGTTTTTTTCTCCATATTAACCAAAATCAGTCGAGAAACAAATCCTATCGCATTTTGCTCCACATGATTCCAATACAGTACGTTGACGTTAAAAGGTTTTCTTTCAGACAAAAGGGACCGAGATCTATCTTTCGTCAAGAAAGATTTGAAAGAAAATACGCAAATTTGTTAAAGGCATCCGCATAAGTCTCTTTTTTCGGTTTTCGGTTTTTGCCTTCTCACCCTTGTTCCTCTCTTTCCATTGACATTGGCTAGCCTTCCCCTTTTACACGGTCTTTTAAACGACAGTAGGAAATTTAACAAGGAGTGGTAAACAATCAAGATGTAAAACTTTGTTACCGATATTTGGTCGTCTAAATTTTATTTCACTATACACTCGTATTTGATTCCGTTGATTCGTCTCAATTGAACTGATCGCTTTGGTCTGCAAATCATTTGAAAGACCTCTTCCTCGTGAGTACCATTGGGTGTAGAAGACACCCCTCTGAGCTAAAGATGACTAAATCACACTGTTTCACGGAGGTGGGTCACAGTGTGAGTCAGTGAATCGAAAATGATGCCTCTAAAGAGAAATAATAATGACATTTCTAGACCGGGAAGGATCTTGTGAGAGAACGTCTTGGGTTTGTGGATAGCTATGACCTATCTAAGAGTTTACCTTAGTTACGCCCTGAACGTTCTCCAGAAACCTTTTGGGAGATGGGGCTGGGGAGGAGTCGTGAGCTACCGGGACCTCATCTCCTGAGCTTACACTGCTGTCCACACTGCCACCATCTGCATTTATTCCCTCCTCTCCTGTTAAGGGCATGAAAGAAAGCATGGTAATTTTTCTGTTCCTTTTGGGAATTGAGCGTTTGCCATACAATTTACAACGCGCCCAAGAAAAGGACAGGGCGTGAAATTAACTTTTTTTTCTGATAGTCACTTGGCTCCTAAATTCTTCAAAGTGGCAGCCAATTCAAAAAAATTTGGTCACCATTTTCAAAGACAAACAAAATCTTTCTTTACGCTGTCAGCGTTCTAGATAGACCCTCCAAAATTAAGTTAGGGAAAAGATCTTTAACGTGCTACAAAGTGGACACTAGGATGGATGATATACAACGTTCAGGCTCATCTAAATCCAAGATGGCGTCTAGTTATCGATCGAGATGCATGTGCTACGTTTTGGAAACAAACTTAACGAGGAAGTTTGCCGCGGATTTATCTTTGCAAATCTTTTTAATTCACTATATCTCTTGGTAAGGTTATGATGAAACGTTGTAGTCGCCAATTTGGCGACTAACTTTCAGGATTTGGTCGCCAAAGTGAAAAATTTAGTCGCATTGGCGCCTGTATTAGGCGCAATTTCACGCCCTGAAGGATGGGTTCAAATTAAAAGGTTCCTCAAGCGTAAGTGGCAATGTCAAAAGTATTATTCCAGAATCAACTACTTCAACCCTTAAACTCCCAGAGGTGATCAACATGTAACTTCTCCCGGATGGGGAGAATACTGCCCGCTCTCGGAACCAATCAGATTGCTGGATTTGTAGAATATCGCCCGCTCACGAACTGAGAAAAAAATAAATTACAGGTATGTTAAAAAAAGTAGAGCACACAAAACTCATTGTAGACATACCAGTGTAAAATACAGCATTTGGTTCTTGAGCAGGATTACCAGGCAGTTTGAGTGAAGACTGCAGGACACCAGACACTCTCTTGATACTGATACGTGAAAATCCAGAACCTTTAAGTAACCTGGGTGATTCTTTAGCAGGCTGATTTTGTGAAAAAAATAATAAGGACAACTATTATATCACTCAGTTAATACACGCACTATGATTAGTCAATTTGGCAGACCGTATTTCAATGTATGGCCCACTAAATTCAAAAGTTTGTGTAAATTAAAATCTTCCCCCCTCCATTTGAACCCAGCGATAAAATAAATATCTTACTAACCGAGAATCTTGGTCCATACTGTACATTATGGAAGCTTGTTTTTCCTGCTCAGATTTATGGCCCACAGCTTGTGTGTTTGAGCCATAAATCCAACTAACAGTATGAACCTCAAACTCGTTAGTAAGAGGTAAAGAAATCCAGAAGCAAAAATGAACACCTTGCCTTTTGAGTTCTCACAGGAGATAAAACATGCAACTTCTCTTCACATTTCGATTTGATACCCAGCAAAGAAGTAATGAGAATTTACATACTTATCAGCTAAAAAGGTGTCATCTTGATAAATCATCCAATTCACCAGGCTAAGTTATACCAAACATATAGCAGATGTTGAACTTAAAAAAAATTGTTTTCATTCAGAACCCAGTAAGTCTAAAATAATCTTCTGCAATCAATCAAGAGTAAGTTCAATTTCTTTATACTTTTGTGCTCTCTTGGCATGTTTCATTCTTCTATTCATTCATTGTTCCATTTATTTGTTTTACATTCCTCATTAATATTCATTTATACAATGATTCTGTCTCAATCCTGGTGGAGATGTACCACAAACTGCAGCCCAAATACACAACACGAAAATACATAATATTTAAAACATATCTAATGTCTGTTTGAGGAGACATACAGTAAGTTTACAAAACAACAGACAATGATAAATGTGGTACATGAAGTCTCAGAAACAACATACAGACAGCAACATCCAGTTGCATATAACTGTACTTATCAGAAGAGAAATCTATTTACCCTTGAAGACGAAGCATCATCCGAGTCAGATCTCTTATGTTTCTCTTCATAACTAAGGAAAGGAAAGTACGTATAATTTTTTTAACATATACTAATGGTACACGAACTAAGTTGTAACTATAAAACACTCTCCCACACAATACAAGTATTCAAACACTACCACATAAATATTTGAAATGAGTTCAAATTTTACTGTTGTCAACTTGGACATTAAGGAGGGTTAGGGAATGCATTATAGGAAGTTTCAGCACTGGCTGACTGATCAAAAAAATCTGCTAAAAATCCTCATACAGAGTAAAATTCTCAAATGGCTCATGAGAAACATGAAAAGCAAAGTAAAGGTACACACAGGATAAATGGGAAAATAATTATAATTCTTTCAACCCTGAGGACAACTACATCTAAATTATTCCTTCAGTATCACTGCTGAATCATACACATGTGAGGAAATAAGCCCCAATTTAAGAAGCTCTTGATTGTTACATAATTTCTCCCTGTCAGTAGCACAGGATATGTATAGAGAACAGTATCAAAATTTGCATACTAATTCCAACATGCAGAGGGTAAAAAAGAGTACTGTTGTAATTTAAGTAACTTTTAAAAATTTTGGCCAGCACTTTCCATGTTCACATCAATCTGCATAAAAATGCCACTCATTTTTCTTAGAAGTCAACCTCTTGGCTCTTTGTTGCAATTGGCAATCAAACAGTTGCTGTGTGGTGAATTCAAAGTTCAAATGCAATATTCCATGAATATAGGTACCCAATGTAAATGCTGTACACATGTAAAAAAACCCACAAGCCCCTTTAAAAGATATTGATGAGTTGAATCTTTTGATGTTCTTAAAAAAAAATAGTTTTGTACCTGACAAATCGTTTGAGTGCCTGTTCAACACTCATCTCTCCATTTTTCACGCTCCTCATTAAGTTAATCCTATCTTCCTCACTCATGGTTGTCATTTCACATGCAATAAACTCAGATGAAGGTCTGCTGTTTGATTTTCTCTTAGTGCTTTTTCCAAAAATACCACGCTTTAATTTGGGTTTATTACCCATCTTTTCATCTTCACTGGAAAAGTCGCTCTGAAGGAAAAAAAAAATAACAGAGTAAAACTTGAAAATAAGTGCCATAAAAACCACAATTGATGATCAAAATAGTAATTGGAAGCCAGACATCTATTAAGTTGAGAACTCAGTACTACACTACACATCATGTACTGTGCCAGGTACTGTTTCAACATCAATTAATGTTATTTAATATTGCATGATTTTTCTCTTAATTATATATTCCATTGTTCCACATGTTTAAGACTTTCTACCTAGCTAGTGTCTTGAACACATTTACTTTAAAAACTCTTGCTTCTACAACCATTTGCAAAAGTAGTTGAGACATTTACCACAACAAGAGAAAATTGTTTATCATGTGATCTTACACAATGTATCCCCCACTCCCCCCTCACCATGTTCATAGCTAAGCAGTACCTTATACAAAACTTCAATAAACAACAATGAATCAGGGGAAAGGGGGCATCTATCTTCTAGTTTCTTTCACTAAATTTCTTCATGGCCATCTGATGAAGTGGGTAAAGGCACTTTTTGTTAAAGGTGTCTCAATATTTTTGCAACTGATTGCAGCTACTGCAAAATGTACTGGAAACCAAATAAAAGATGTGATTAGTACCAGTGCAGGCACAAATGGGGTAAGATTGGCCCTCCATGTCTCTTTATTAAGCATGGTGACCAATCTTTATATCATGGTTCTCAAAAAAGAGATTGGTAGGAAACAAGAAAGTTACAATGACAACTTTATTTCTAAGGAATCACTAAGTCTGTTTTGAATGTTGGTATCTGATACAACAAGTCATCTACAGCTATATTTCAGAAATGTTCTGATTATTACACTGTCTTGTTCCTCAGCACAACATCATGTAAGGTATTATAGAATTGCATTTAACTCCTTTTCTATGTGTGAAGCAGAAACAACCAAAAACACAAAACAGGGAGACACAAACCTTGGGTTTTAAATAATCCTCTTTTTTGCAGTCCTCTTCATACCTGTAAGAGCACACATTGTATTCAGGTTTATTCATTGAGGGAAAAAGGGAAAATCCCTGTATAATTCTCATGGCAAGAGTACCAAGAACCCTTTGACTTCTTGGAGTGATTAGTATCTAATTTTTCCTTACAAAATCACCCCCTGATTCACACATCAAGGTCATGAAAATAAAGGAAACAATCACCAACCAAAGAAGCTCTTGATTGTTAAACAAATTCTCCTTGTTGGTATCATAGGAAATATATAGGGACCAGTAAGGAGAATACATGTATGCATAATATAATGATGTCAGGGTGCAAAGGGATAATAAGTTGTCCCTTACCAAATCTCCTCAATTAAAGCCTGGCAGGTCATGAGGAAACTTTTACGTTAAATAATGAAGTTTTAATGTTTACCACATTTCATTTGACCTTACACATACCTCTTCAACTGTTCTACAGCTTCTTCTACAGTGAGGTCCCCTTGTTTGACCATGATCATGAGTGCCATGCGATCTTCCTCTCCCATTTTAATGGCTGATGCCAGCACATCATAATCCTCCTTCCTCTGATTTGACAGCTTTTTTTCCAAAGGCTGCTTCTTTATCTCATTTCCATGGTTCTTTTTCTTGCTGCCATGAAACAGCTTGAATTTGAATGGTTTGGATTTTAAAGAGGAAGCTTCTCTATCCCTGGGCTTTGGCTCCACGTTGACTAGAAAGTAAAATATGATAAAATGAATGAATGTCAACCATATGCAGCAGATGACTATGACCACAACAAGGTGTTAATACAACACACATGTAGTTAAACATTTAACACTTTAACTCCTACGAGTGACCACAACAGAATTTCTCCTTACACCATCAATACAAAATCAAGCAGACAAGTGATGAGAATAAAGAAACATTTTAACATTATATGGAGTATCAATTAGAGAATTACTAGTTGATCCAATACCAAATTCTCCACACTAACATTAACAAGAATTGTATGGCACACAGTAGGAAGAATTACAAATGAGATCTAGGGAGTGACAGGGTCAACCCTTTCACCTTCAAGATCAAAACATTAATTCTCTTCACTGTACTCTTTACATTCCTTACAATGTTAGCTTTAAGAATTCTGTGTCAAATCAAGCTTTATCCCCATTGTCATGTTTTTGTTTCTTCTTATCATCTTTATACTGGAAAACATATCTATATTGTTTGAGAAATTTCTTGTTGCCCACCCCTGGAAGTAAAAAGTTGAGGGGGTGGGAGCACATAGGTTGTACTTAACCCTTTAACTCCCATGAGTGACAAAGAGAGAATTTCTCCTTACAATATCAATGCAATATCAACCAGATGAGTGATGAGAATAAAGAAAAATATCAATTTGGGGATAATAAATTGACCCAATACAAAATTCTCCAAACTAACATTATTAGAATTGTATGGTTGACAGTAAGGAGAATGACAAATTTCATCTGGGAGTTAAAGGGTTAAGATGCTGAAGTCCACATCAAAAGTATCAGAATCATTCCCTGTGTATTCTTCAGTGTGGTACAAAATTTCTCATTCCTCTTAACAACTGGAAATGAACTGTGAACAAATCCTGATTAAAGTCTATGCTGGTACATATAAGCAGGATTTATCAGCTACAGTGTACAGGTCTGTTTCTTTACCGTGTAACTCTTTCAAGGAGTCCAAACTCCTTGAAAGCTTAGTATTTCTTTCCACTTTCCTCCGTTTCTTTTCCTTCTTTCCGCGCTGGGCTGGGCTGTCAACATCCAAGTAGTCAGGTAGCATTAAACCCTAAAACACAAAATGCGCAGCTACAGCACAACAGACAGTTGATGGCAATTTGAATTTACTGGGAAAACTGTGCAATGCAGATAGCATGGTTTACGAGGCTACCAACTTTGTATATACTAAAGCCCTAATGATTCATATGTGTAGTGAAGAAAGGTTTTAGTTAAGCTTGTTTATCCAATGAATTTAGATATTGACCATTTCTAACATGAGACTTTTTCTTTGTCCTGCACACATGAATCAAAGTGCTCTGTGAGCAAACTCGTGAATTGACACATGATTTTTTAGATTATGTTTAATATTATCTGGTTTAGGGAATTTTGTGGTTGATTGTCATATCTAGAGTACGAGCAGTAGTTCAGTGTTCGCTAATGTAGCAAAGAAACAAAGTAACGTTGGGATAAGAAGGCATTACAATTGAAATGATCATGCTATTACATTTGACAAGGTGGATGATGTCATGTGTTTTAAACGTCTATCATTTTTGTTTCTGGCTCAAAAGAAAAGGTTGGAAGTAAATGTGGGTGAAAAATGAAATTTACTGTCTTTCGTTGTAAATATTAGAAAATCAAGGCAATACTGTCTTAATGAAAACATTAACGATTCCCTCTTTATCAAATGAGACAAACTGGAACGAGTTTTGAGTGATATAACTAAGCCAAGCCTGCCACCCTCATTTTGGATCTCCGCCTGGGTAGATTTAAGTCACGTGCTAGGCAACGTATAATCAATAACAAGATAGAATTTCATTTCAGGCCTGTTTATCAATTTTGTGGTGTGTAACTTTCACATTTTAGTACGTTGTAGGTATGTTGAATCTTCAAATTGTCTTGAAACTTAAAAGAAAATTGTTCTTTAAAAATTTACTGAAAATCGGTAGCCAAAATTGTTTGTTTAGGTGTTATTTGATTTTCGTGTTAACTTGTTATTTTGTCAGTCGCCGGCATCTTTTGTTGCTTCACACAGGAAAAACACACGCGACGAAACGTAATGATCAATTTTGTCCTCAATCTCACGCTATAACAGAAAAAGCTTTTATACATCTGTAAATTCCGAGCGCTTCGCAGTAAGTGATATTTTCAATGAATCTTCGGATTGTTTTCAAGTTCAAGGATTGTAAATTACAATTTTATGAAAAACGAAGATTGTTCTGTTATTTCAGTGTGAATCCTTGCATGCCTGCCAGTCGCTGGCGCTGCTTGTTGAAACTAAAACGAAAAAAAAAACTCTTTTAAGATTATCATTGGCTTCTTTTTCATTCCACCACAATTCTTAGCAACAAAGGTCGCCATTTCGTCTGTTTATTGCTCGCCAAAAACTATCAAATGCACTCAAAAGCCTAAAATCTAAAAAAAGTTTACAGGAATCGACCAATCGAGCGAGCGAGCGAATGCCATTCCCCACATCGTATCTATAACTCGCTCTTGCGCATGCGCGCAATTCACGAGTTAAAAATTAATGGTGTGTGCTTGGGTGAAACCTTATAAGCAATTTCTGTTTAATTTAACTCATCCAATTATAAATCTACAGCAAGAACCACTTTCTAATAATGATAAGGCTCCCCACACCAATGTCTCCAACTTTCAGTGGGTCAATATTAACCAATCACAGCTGACTTATAACACCAGAATCTTAAAGCCAATAGCATCCAGTCAAAGCCAACCAATCATTTTTCCCAAACCAGACTTACAGTACTGGGCCCAGTTGTATAAAGGGCAGATAATGCTACCCAACGGATAAATCGATATCCAGCGGATAAGTGATAGCAAAACATAATTATAGCTTCCATTGATTCTCATAATGACAATTTCTCAGATTGTTGAAACTTCAGTCACCCTTTCTGACAACAGTCCTTTTCAGGACTAAGTCTACTCTCACCTGGACACACAATAGAACCCTTTAGCCTGTATGTTTTGTTTACCAATTCTTGAGAACCGTTCCTTTCAAATTTCCTTTCATTTGTGTGCATTTGTATAGATAATTTATAAAAGTTAAAGCTGAGACTCAATCATCTACAATGTACAGGTCTTTAACATAACTGCAAACTAGCCTCTCAACAACAACATTCTACATGTACTTTGTTGAATTTTAATGAAGTTTGTACCAAATCAAGCTTTCCTCTGAAACATTAAAGGAGGCGTGGTGGCCTCATGGTTAGTGCGCTTGCCTACAGATTGAGTGGTCTGGGTTTGAGCCCTGGCTGGGGTCATTGTGTTGTGTTCTTAGGCAAGATACTTTTCTCTCACAGAGCTTCTCTTCACCCAGGTGTACAAATGGGTACCAGCAAATATACTGGGGGGTAACCCTGCGATGGACTAGCATCTCATCCAGGGGCCAGTAGCAATACTCCTAGCTGCTTCATGTAAAGGAAACCAGAGTTAAGTGCCGGCCCCATGGGCCACCTGGGCCTGTATAACGGCTTTACTTTTCTGAAACATTAGATAGCTGCCAATCATGGAGGGTAAAATTTCTCTCTTTGGAAATCAGTAGGACAAAAATAAAACCCTAAGATTATTGGAAGAGTACTCACTCTCCCAGCTGGACTAGCTGGGTCTTCTGAAGAAACAGATCTATGATGAATGTCATCTTCTGAGGCAGCTTCTTCATTGTGATCACCCGAATGCCTTGATTTTGAAGAATGCCTTGTTGAACTATGTCTGTCACGAGAATGAGGAGGACCCGAAACCTAGTAATACACGAGGTTGATTAACTTCAATCAATATTAATATCTAGAAATACTTATAATACACAAAATAAAAGTGTTCAGAGATAATACGTAATTTACGTAAATTACTTAATAGAATTTTGTTATAAAAGGAATGCTAGTATATTTTTTTAGGGTAATGTTATACAAAATTGATACGAGTTCCTTTCCAATTTTCGAAAGCAAATGAGTAAAAGCTACATGTAATTAAGGATAAAAATTTGAATGAGTGACAGCACATGTTTTTATACTTTTCAATATTATGTCAATTGTTCACCTCTGTCTAAATTGTACTTTTATAACATAAACACTTTAAAAGATATCAAATAAATAATAAACAAACACTGAAATAAAAATTACCTTGTAAGGAAACAAAATTAAAGTGTAAATGTATTTCAATTTCTGAGTTATATAAATTGGGTGACAAGATTTTTTTATCACACTAGAATAAGGCTAAAATTTGTGTCAGTCCTTTCAACAACAAGCAAAACAAAATGACAAACAAACCTGTGAAGAGGAATCATTATATGCTCCTTCTTTTTCCACTTTGTTTTGACGTAAAATTCTTAAAGCTCTCAGCACATGTTCCTCATATGTGTAAAACTTATCTGCATAGATGGTTACGAGTGTGTCTAGACATCCCTCAGAGCCATCCTATGAGAAAAATACTTATGCTTAATAACCCTTTCACTCCTTGGAATAATGAAGGAGAAATAACTTCTTACAGCAGCAGACTGGTTATGAGAATAAATAATGGTAATTGAACTCAGTGGAGTGAAATTTGGTCTGAAATCATATGCGTGATCTCAAAATCAAACATGCACACAGTGCAAGATTGATTTGCCCAACACAAAGTTCAATTACCACAATAGACTTTCTTACCTATATTTTGAAATAAAAAAATTCAGTTGCTAAAATAAGGTTTTTTTTTTAAAATATACAAACATTTTATTCATCCAGTATCAAGCTAGTTTACGAAAGTGCAAAAAGTTGTCTTTCATTTTTCTGCAATTTGATTGATTTCTTAAATAGACATTGAAATCTAATCGATTGTCGTGTTTTAGCACAGCTGTACTATTGACTGGGAAAAAATGCAATTTTGAGCATAAAATAGTGCGATTCATGGATAAATCCCACTGATGAGAGTCAATCAAATTGCAAGGATCACAGGTGATTTCAGAGTGGTGTTGTAATTAAGAGAAAGATAAACTGGGAGATCTTTGTATGATTTGACAACAAATTCTAAGTAGTAACATTCTAGGAAATGAAAGACAGACATTTCAGAGAATCTTGGGAGTCAGAGGGTTTGAAAAGAGGCTTAAATGTATTCTGTTTCACAGAATTATATATTCTGGACTCCTCTGTGAATCAGGGTTTCAGATTAACTTGTCAATACATTACTATTAATTCAAAATACAAAAGACAATAGCGGATATCTGAGATATTTTAAGCGCTTGATTCAAACAAATATCAATAATGCCAAAACTCATACTACCATATCATGATCATTAAGTTAAAATCTTTTATGACACAATATCACGTATAATTATTTACGGTCTTTGTGAGGAAATGAAAATCTTTAAATGAGAAGGACTTCAAGATCATAAAAAGACATTTAAACAATAAACTCGGGATCAAAATAATTTTTAAAAACATTGACTAAAGGAATTTTACGGCAAGCACTTACTGTATAGTGGTTTATTGTCACTGAGAAAGGCGCAGCATGTCTATTTTCGCACTATGAAAGTCAAGTTGATTCTAATTACTGTAGCCCTCTGTGAAGCGTTAGGTTAACCCGAGGTTGTAAATTTATGTTTGTGTTGACAGCTAGAGGCAAATAGACACTTTTTATCCGATTATAGAGCCGTGCCTTTATCTCACAACAAGGAAAAAAAGTAATTGTTCAAGAATTAAATAATTTTGCGGCCTCAAAATCATTAGCGATCACTCAAGCAATTTTCTGGTAATGAGAAAAGAAAAACAAATTTCATACAAAGAAGGACAATTACTGAGACCTGATTTGTGGTTTCCTACGAAAAAATTGGAGGTTATTTCCCAATGAATCTGTTCAACAGTAAAGTTTCGAATCTGACACGCACATCGCGCACATTTGAAATTTTCCCACATGCAGATAAGTATAAAAAAAGGGGATACTTTTTAGGATCCTAACAAAATTTAGTGTTTACTTTATGATGTAAAGTGGATTGCGTGCGAGTTTGATCGACATTTACCGTGTATATTAGCCAATATGATGGTCAATCTTCTCAAACGTGGGTGTTACACACAAGACAAGCGTTCTTGCCAGCTAGCTTGAACTGAAACATTCTTCCAACAGATCGAGATAAAGCTCTTCCAATTATTAAAAATCTTATTTCGGAACTAGAAACTAATATTTCATAGTACTCACCGGTTTAGAGTACGGATGTGTGGTTAAATCGATTTTGTCTTCTTCAAGTTTATCGTGCAACATCATCTTCAATGAAACTGGGGGGTATGTATCACGCTCGGGCTGCGCTTGTAAGGGTTCGATGTCACCTCCTTCAAGGACAAAGTACACAGCGGTGCCACTCTGTTTTAGGCGTTCAACAGCATTAAGAATGTCTGTCCTGTCCTTGAAGTTCCTAACACCAATTGCATCCAAATCCTCCTTCCCAATCTCTTTACAAATTTCGAGTTCATCATAGCCATTATCCAGAAAGGCTTGTGTGTAGTGAATAAAACCGAGCGATCGAAGCCAATCTTCTACGGAGCTACTCATATCTTATCTCGCTCGAAAGTTATGAACATCTCGAAGAACACGAATAGGATAATCCGAGAGTTTAAAGTGACATACGGAAGACCACAGAAATCGATCAAAAAGGCGGCAGTTCTCAAATCGTCAGCCTTTGCGTCGCTGTGAAAACAACTAAGCACTTCCGATGCCTTGGCAGCCTGGCCTCCGCATCTGCGAGGCCACCAAGTAAGATGGCGGAAGAAGTCCAAAACACTGGTGATTCCAAGCTTTTGGTAGAGAAGGATGAAAGTGAAGGTCCTATTCTGAAATTTAGTCTTGGAGAGATGATTTGATTATTCAGGTTTACTGAAATTGTGCAGTCTCTGTGTCTAATGTGCAGGCCACACCACGCTAAAGGTCCCTTCTTCGGGTGAGAAAAGAAAGCTTTCCGAGACTTCTGCAACTCCCAAATTCACCGTCAAACCAAAAATCTCGATGAATATTTCCGGTTCTCAGCAGAAGAAGACAATTGGAGTCAGCTTAAAACTGGTAAGTGTTTACTTTTATGAAAATGTCTTCCTCGGAAGTTCGGCCGACAGTTACAACAATGGGCATTTGTATGAAAAACAGCACCGATCTCACATGCTTCAAGATTATTGAAGAAAGCACGCGGACGGTCACGCGGAAGTGATAAAAAATAAATATCCTTTAAGCGGTTTAAATTTTATGTTTTAAGAGCCATGAGGCGTCATTAAATTGTAACTGTCTGCTTACGGTAAGCTTTTGGGTACAAGAGCTTGATTGTACAAATTATCATGAACTGTGTCAATACTATTTTTTCGGTCAGTCTGCTAACTTCTTATGTATAGCTTCACCCGTTTCAGATTGGACGAAAACGCTTGCAATAAATGGAAATAAATGTAATTTCTCATCAGTATTGTAATACTCTTGGTTAACATTTAATACGCTCTAATTTTCAGGGATCTGATCCAAAAAAACAAAAGACAGAACCAGCATTGGTCGAAAAGAAGGGGTCTGTCGCATCTGCATTTAATGAAGAGGTATCTCTAACTTGTAGATTGAACTTTACTGGCTTAACTTTGTGATAAACATGATTAACCAGCAAATATTTTTGGCCTTTAAATATCTTCTAGGAGAGCCTTAACTTGACCCTGTGCAATGTACATTGTAAATTAACCTTTTCACTCTCGAATCTCATTAGAGGTTCTCCTTACAGTCTACCATACAATTCTTATGATCTTAGTTCAAAATATTTGGTATTGGCTCAACTATTTTTCTTTTTCCTCATCACTCGTTTGCTTGATATTGTTTTGACATTGTGAGGAGAAATTCTGTCATAGTCACTTAAGGGAGTTAAACGGTTAAAGAATAGACATAACACCAGACTTCATAGGGGTTTAGTTTAATTTAGAGTAAGGTGAATTTTCTATGGAGCCTGTTGCACTTACTGTATGTCTTATTGTTGATGGTGAATTTTTGTGGCTACTACCTCTTATAAGAGGCAAAGCCACATTATGTCCTCTGGATTAGTACATGAGTGAGTGTAACAATAGAATTCCAATCTTGACCCACTGCTACTTATTGCTTGTTTTGGAGTATCTTAGTTGTTAGACAGTTGCACTCGGTACACAGTTGAGTGCTCTTCTTTTGTGATTTGTGGCTCATAGCCACAAGCACATTATGTTTTCAGTTTTTGCTGTGACACTAAAAGAGACAGCAGAATACAATGAACATCTCACAATCATTTCAGGATTGTGGTAAAGTTTTTTCTTGCAGAAAATTTATATTAGGTGTGATTGATCCATCATGAAACTTAGGGGAAACTTTTTTCTTTGAAGAGAAAGCATTTTGCTGTTTAAATCAGCAAATTATGTGGAATGGAAGATATGATCTTTTCAGTTCTTGCTGTGACACTAGTAAGAAAAGATGATAAACTTCTCAAAATAATTTCACAGTGGCATCCACTAATTATTTGATTTAAATCAAAACTTTTCTATGCAGAAATATCTCAATAGATGTGATCTGCACATCATGAAAGCTTTGAGGAAATTTTTCTTCTTTGAAAAGAGAGCATTTTACTGATTGAGTCAGCAACTTATGCCAAAAAGAGCCACTAAATTTATGAAGTAGGCAAGCTGTGAAATATGATACCTTGAGTTAATCAACAGAATGATGGAACAGGGGAAAGGAGGAACAGTGAATCTGTGGAATGGTGGAATATCTTGAAATGCTGAATACCTTTTTGTATGAAATATAAGTCTCAAAATATCAGGTTGCAATAAAATTAGAAAATTATTTATGATTAACAGGCAAAAGTAAAAAAGCATATTGGTGGGTAATCATTGTTGAAGCCCAGAGGATGCGATAACGATAAGGCTTTTGACCTTGTCCCTTTAAATTATAATTATATTACTATTGTTATCATTATTATTATTGTTAATGTTATTATTTGTTACCATTATTTATTGGTGGAATGTCAAGGTGACCATATTTTTTAATCATCTTTCTCTTGTGGATCAGGGTATTCATAAGTATGTGTTGTGTGGCAGGTTTTCTGTTTTTCATATGAGGCAAATCAAATAGTCTGTAACCCAACTTCTAGTGTCATTATACAACCTCTAGTTCTCTTCATTGCTATTAAAATTTTTATTGCATGGGAATTGTGAAATTACATTTAAATTCCACATACAATTTCATCTTGTATTTTATTTTGGAATTGTTCTCAATCTTAAGGTTAGTAGCAAGTAGTTTGTTTTCTAAGGGCTTTGAAAGTGTTAAGCCCTTGGAATGGGTAAAAGGTAATACAGATCTTTTGGTTCAAATAGTTCTTTAATTTGAAACTTTCAAAGTATTGTTGGATTTTTGGTTGTGTGTGTCTTAGATTATGAATAAGTATATTTTGTGTTCTTTAGCAATACACTTAACACTTCAATAGGGATTCCCTCACTGGATCCCGGCAAACTGTTAGACGGGCAAACTGGGTAACTGGCAACTCTGAAATTAACTTACTGAGGGGTAAATCCTGGGTAAACTTTGGCAGGGCTTGTAAGCCTATGTGCAGACCTCATTCATGGGTTGCAATGACCTTTTCCATAAGTGGCTGCCAATGGTGTTCTGGGTGGCGGTAGACTGACACTAACTGTCTTTGATTTAAACCTCTACCTTAGTTATCTGATTCTTGCTTTTAAGAGCTCAAAAGTCCTTGTTGGATGAAAAACTTTCTATTTTGTAATGTGATACTACTTGGCTTATCATTTCTTACAGAGTGATGATGAAGAAGAGATGCCGGCAGAAGCTAAAATGAGAATGAGGAATATAGGGAGGTACAGTGTTAGAGTCACATCTTGTGAATTTTAGGGCAGACTGGTTGCCTGAGTTTTAATGTTTCCTAGACTGAAGTCAACAAATAAGTCCCTTCTACTGACTTTGTTATCTTAATTTGGAGAGCGCTTAACCATACTCTTTAGATGTCCTTTAATTGTGTCATACACTGCTCTCCTATTTGAAGGTTTGTATGAACAGCCAAACCCAATGCTGTTAAGAGAGCAAAAATGATGCCTAGCCTTGTTTTCCATTGTGGTAGATGGGTTGTTCTAATAGTTGGTGCATTATTTTGTATTCTTGGACAAAAAATTTAACTTACACAGCACCTTGCCCCACCCAGGAGTGTAAAGAGGTTCAGGCAAATTGTCAGAGAAGCCTGATGAAATGCTGGAAGGTAACCTGGATTGGCATCCAATGTGGTGGGTGGGGAGGGTGGGAGGGGTATAATACTCCTGGGTGCCATGTAGTTGAAATCAGAATAAGCTCTGACTGCACGGGCTATTTGGCTCAAGTAAAGACTTCACCCTTACTTTCCGCCGGAAAAGTTGTCCTTCTCTCCCCCTAAATATTCATGATAATTGCATCTGGAAATAATATTAATTATTTTTTCTACTCTGTATTTTTCAGAAACACTCCCACATCAGCAGGGCCTAATTCTTATAACAAAGGAAATAAAGGATTTACAGATCATCGGAAAGCAGGCGAAAAGAGTTTTAAACTAGAACACCCATCAAAGTCCAAGGAGGCAAAACAATGAAACGTGATGTTATACTTCAGCACACTTCTTTCCATATAACTTACCTTGGCCAATATGAGGTTTGCCTTCTATTGGTTCCTTGCTTCAGTTTCACAAGTGAAACTCCATTCATTAACTGGTGCAAGGTTGGGTTTATTCGATCGTTAATTTTTTCTAGCGGAAGACATAGGCACGTAGAATAACCATTGGTGTCAAAGCTGAGGGGTAATGCTTTGACGGTGTCACGTCTTGAAATGAGACAACACTAAACAGTAACCACATTTGTTGGAAAGAAAAAGACGACAACAGAAACTGTTTGTAATTAAAAAGTTAAACATTGATGATATGCTAACTCATTTTGAAATACCCTGCCCTCCAAGAAAAACAAATTATTGACAGATTGTTTATTTTTTGCCATTACAAAGATACATTTGATCGACAAACTAATCATTAACTTTTCTCTTTAGAAGTCATGTAATGAATCATGTGTCAACGTTGAAGACAGTTTCAGGCCATCATTATTTGATGAGAAATAGGGAAATAATTTGTTGGTTTCCAAACAATTCGTAATAATGGAACGTTTTTTGTATATCTTAAAAGAGAAGGAAACTGCGGTAGAAAGTGTTTGTGTAAAAATCTCAAAACAGGAAGCAAGCTCTATATTTATATATTTGGGTTTCTTTCAGCTTTCTGGAACTGAAGCAGAAGATCAGCATAAGAATTACTAAATTTGCAGTATGCAGAACTTTCTTGCCAAGAGGTACCAGACAAGGAACTTCAAAAATATATATATTTTTTTCATTCTGTTCAAAGAGAAATTCTAACTCTTTTCTTTTTCACTATCCCCTTCGTATTCGTGGTTGTGGTAAGTGCATGCGGGATTGGGCACGTGCATCCTCGCGTGTATCACACGGGCACGAGTATCCTCGAGCGTAGCGTCACTTTCGGACTCGCTGCACATTCTGTCTCCAGGTGCGCAAGTTGAAATTTCTAGCGACTTTTGTCCAAGACTTTCGACCTAACTGATTCATCCAGTGTACTGAAGGAGTGCGACATGAATCTACGCTAGTTTCTATCGCTTTCTCAGTGTCGATATATTTTCGATGTTACTTCGACTCGCGCAGCTAGGTGCAAGGCCTATCTATCAACTTTTTACTCGCGGGGTGTTTAACCCTTTAATTCGCGGAAGTTATGAACATGTAACTTCTTCCTATAACATCCATACATTATCCAGAAAACAGGTAGTGAGAATACTCAAACTCATCAAGCAGAAGTGTTTAACTTGATCTAACACCAAATTCTTGTAACTATTCTATAAGGAATTTCGTAGCAGCTAGAGAGGAGAATTAAGTACCAGATCTTGGGAATTTAAGGCTTTAACATTTCTTCTTTCAAGTTCACCAAATTTTACGTGTTTTCTTCCCAGAGAACGCTGCCTTGAAACAAATACTAAATATGCTTATTGTAAGATTAAAATTATTGTGCTATTGACATCGCCACCTATTTACAAAAGGCTTTCGTGTTGATTTAACCCATTCTTGAGATTGCTCATTCGAGTATTCAGTACCCGAGCTTTACTGTCATGAGAGATTTTCTTTTGAAGACCCAAATACTGAATTAACGCTTTCCTTAGTTCTTTGTTCAGAGCAGTGTACAACAACGGATTGATTGCCGACTTTGAGTACATGACGCAAAGGAATAGACGAAAATAAAATGGTGCAATGTTTGCAGCGGAGAATTTGTGTAAAGTTTGAACAACGAAAAACGGTAGCCAGCACAATATGAAAATGCCACCGACTAAAGCAAGCAGCGCTGCAGCGCGAAATTCCTTTCTGCGCGTGTGGGACGCACGTAACTCGCCGTTTAGTTGAGTACCTTCTCTCATTTTGAAAATTTGGCGACGCGCCTCTAAAAAAATCTTGGTGTAGCTTATACCCATGACGACGGTTGGAATAATGACCACAAATGTCCACAAGGCCGATAAATAAAGCACTTCAGAAAGATAGTTGTCGTTGGAGACTGCTCCGCTTTTGCAAATGGTGTCAGCTGAGCGCCAGAATATCGGCGGAAGAGAGATCACTATGCTTCCCGCCCAAAGGCCGGCGATGACGTAACGCGCATGCCTGGCTGTCATGACCATGGGGTAGAGAAGTGGTTTTAAGATGATAAAGTACTGGTTTAGAGCGACTGCGCACAAGTTGAAGACCGTGGCGGCACCAAAAAGGACGCCAAAGGGAGTGGTGATGTAGCAGAATGACGGATGAGGATACCAGCGGATGTGTAGAGTGGATAGCATGGTTGTAGGCATCTTGAGAGCGGAGTGAAGAAGATCAGACACGGAGAGGCTCACCAGGAAACTGTAGAGGACCGTGTGAAGATTTCTTCGCTTGTAAATCACAAGACAAACCAGGGAGTTAGCGACCACACCGACAATTATCACCAGGGCTAGGAACACAGACTGAATAATGATCCCTGATGAGATGTTCTGCTCATTTGGGATCCAATCGGATAAATTCGACCGTGTCGTTGAATAGTTCAAAGTGAATGAAGAATTGAGTCTCCTCATTCCTGTGAAGAGAATCATGGATGTTAGTTTAGCCATTAGATACCAAACCGACCTGTTTTTCAAAGCAGAAGACTCACTCCTTCGAACAGTTTGATATCGTGTACTTCACGTAGGTAAAATCGGATCCAATTGATAAAGAACTGCGTGTGAGCTAATCTGAAAATGCTGATTCCGACCATAGAGTAGAACAACTGAAGAAAATTTCCAAAAATAAAAACAGATTACTCCATCTATTTTCTCCCGGCGCTTTTTTTTCCAAGGTTATTATTTTTTTACGAATGCTGTCTTCGTTTCCTAGCCTGGTGCTCGGTTGCAGAATTGTTTTTCATAAATCGTATTGTTGTAAACCATTTCAGAAAAAAACCTGCTTGGAAGAAACTGTACGGATTGTTTTATTTTGTGCGAGTAATTAACACCTTCATGTCTGTTGTGGTAACCCTGTACAATACAGTGCAATCCTAATTAAAACTGGGCGAACGGTGACGTATGCTAATGTATCACGGCTTTCGTCGAAGAGGTTAATCGTATTTACAAAATTCAAACTTCTCCGCAGTTATAAAGAAATATTCGCGACAATTTTGTCGCTCGAACGATGTGCGTGACATTTAAGTTCAAAGGTGAAGTCGAGGACTCTTTTTTTTTTTTTTTTTTGTAACTTTACGGCTTTTTGTTTTCTGTTGATTTTTGTAGAACGGAATCGCAACCGAATTCGTCCAATCGTCGTGAGAGTTTACAGATATGAACTACGCGCAGAAAAAAGGCGTCTTTGGTAGTAAGCTTTAATTATCAATTTCTTTCCTTTGTTATGATTTAAGTGAAACTAAGTAGTCAAACCAAGTCTTGCCTTTGAGACTTAGCCCTTCCTTCAAGTTTTGAAATCGAGAGAGAGATAATTCGCACGGAGTGCTCCCGCTGTCCTAACAGTCTTAGGCTTTATAAGTCTCTAGTTGGTAGTGAAACTCACCCTCTCTGTTCTGATGTCCGAGAAACTTTTAAAACTCCTTTTGCTGGTAGGAAAGCGTCGATTAGTGCAACAAGATGAAAACCATTTGTTTGCATGAATGAGGTGTTTCATTCCACTCAAATACTAGGTATTAGGACAGATGATTAACATATCGGCCGCAAATCTCTCGGGGTTTAATTCACGAGTTAGTATTTTACAACAAAAACTTTTCTTTTCGTTTTGAAACTTGATAGCACATACGTGAAAATTAGATGTGGTCTAAATTGTGATCAGGAAAATTGAAAGAATTTTTAACAGAGGTTACTTTATTAAAAAACGATGAAAAAAGAGAACTTTCAGAATGAAAATTAATAAACATGTTTTTTTTTGTCTTCTCTCGTCAATATAGAATACGTCATACTAATTAAAACAAAGACAGGATTTGAAAACTAAACTCAAGCGGCCGTCATTGGAAGGATTACAAATCTGTTCGCTTAACAGGTGCCAAAATTAATCAAACACCCTTAAAAACCTTACATATTAACTTAAGAGGGAACAATTTGTAGAGGAAAAGCGTTGTATGTGACACTGATTTTAGATTCAAGCTGTAAAATTTAAAAAAAAAAATGAAAAATACTTTAATGATGATAATCGTTGCTTGGTCAGGTTTGTGTTAACTGAATTATCATAAATTAAATTTCAGTTTCCGCACACACCCTAAATGTTGTGGTAGTCCTTCACATTTAGGCTCTGGTAGAGTTATGTAATTGCCTTGCACAGTTACCGCAAAATGACCCATAACTCGGCACGAAACCAATAGCATTTTACTGACAGTGCTGTTTATTGAGTCACCGACTTTCCAAATAAATTTCTCTGCGTCAGTGATGTTTATTTGGTCTCGCCTAACCGGTGTAATAGCGAGACAAAGGAGTTGGGTATATACCAAAAACGAATAGGGAAAATCTTGGATCAAGCTTTTCGCTAGCATTTCAGCGGAAGGCGAGAATTTTATTTAATTGGATCTTTGATTAATAAGGAAAAATAGTAAACTGGGACGGCAATGAAAGCGCAATCTGAAAAAACCTTCACGTAGTGATCACGAGATAAGATAAGAGAATTTATCCCGCTCATAATACTCGAGAATGTTTATATTTCCCGCTGGACAAACATCCATGTTTTATCAACCGAGCTTAATGGATTCTTCACGGGAAAAGAAAAAAAAACTGAACTCAGCTGCGGAGGCCAAGTGTAAAGCGGAAAGTATTTTAGTTTTGGCTAAGTTAGCTCTGCAATCAAATCAAATATTTAGAGGTAAGCATACAGAAAGGCGCGTGTATGTTTTTTCTCTTTTTTCCTCGCTCGTGAAAATATTGTGGAATCACGTTGTGAGAGCAAAGTAAATTTTCATTTCCAAGAAAAACAATGCCTTGTTGAAGATGACAGGTGTTCGGTGCGAGAAGAGAGTGAAATGAGGAAATCACCGATTCCGAGTCGTTAATGACGAGAGCGTTTGTGAAAAATCACAGTATACAATATCGTGGCCGAGGTGCGTGGTCATTAACACGCTTGAAAGTTCCAACCACTAAACTATCTCAGATTTAAATTAATTTTGACGATCTTGAACCTTGTGTATACGGTATAATAGAATGAATCAGTTTATCGAGTTCGACGAGCCATCGTCGAGTCTTAGAATAACAATCTAAACCTTCTTGATAGTTTTCCTCTGCAGCAATTTTGTCCGCGCGATTCTGAATCAAGGACTCTTCTTTCGCTGAGAGTAAGGTGTTCCAAGAATTTCCATGCATTTATATCGTTAGATCTGGCTTCACAATTCATCATTTTATTCAATAATAACGTTGTAAAGTAGCGGTAATAATTACTTGAAATTAACGTCCAAAAAAGGCGGCATTAAGAGCTACTAGTCCGAGTTTTGATATTTATCTAACCGTAGAGGCTTTGATCTCGAAATTTGTAATTAGAGGCTGGTTAACGCCCAAAATAATGATTTGTCTTCTTGAGAAGTACTTAAGGTAACGAATTACGTTTTGATTTTCCTAAATTGTATTCTGAAAAATGGGGTTTTGAAATGCCTGATTTAATGAATTGTTTCGTAATGCCAGTCTGTCATTGTTATGATAAACGAAGTGTATCTTTGAGAACTTTCCACTCGAAACGCAAGCGAATCTCGGCGACGCTAACAACATTGTAGACAAACCTGCACAGGACATGGTTAAACTAAACATATATGAGTCTTTTTGGCATAATTGCTTTTCTGAAATCATTATTTGCGGGGAAACAAAAAGACCAAACGTTCGTCTGTTTACTTATCTTCAATTACTGTTGCTAATTTTCCAGATTTTTTTTTTTGCTGCTATATGTACACTGATTACACAACAGCATTCAACTTTCAAGATACCGCTCATTTACGAGCTAGATTTTCTTTAATTTACAACGATTCATTGTTGCTGATTCCTATTTAAAAATATTCCGCCCCTGGAAAAAGTTGGGCAATTACGTGCGCAAACTGTGGTAGATCGTCTGTGAAATAGGCCATATCGTGCTGTTTAAGTACAAAACATGACATATATACCTTTGCGCTCAGCAATTGACTACCGAAATATTGAGTTTTGCCGTTGACTAATCTAAATATTATCGGAGGGGCAAAAAGTATTTATTGAAGAATACGAAGTCATAAATTTTGCGCCGAATTATTTAACAGATCCGCCTCAAAGTGGCGCAAATGAAAATGTGTTCAGAACAGGCGGGACACAGCTTTGTGCAAAAGCTGATTTAAATTGCGATTTTGAATTACAATATGAAGCTTTTGATAGCTCGATAAACACAAACGTTTTTTTGTACATCTGCAAGATTGATGATTTGTGCTGCGATCAAAAGTGAATCGATCGAGAATTAAACTGTCTGTTCTGAACTCGATGCATCTTCTTTCTTCTGTGGCAGTTAATGTACACAACGAGACCAGATTTCGGATACTTCAGGATTTGACAATTCAATTGCATAATGCAAAAATTGAGAAATATTTTCGAGTTTCCGCGCTGAAGAAGACTTTGTTATGTTGGAAATTTTTCCAGTTTACCGTGAAGGTTTAAAGCGCTGTTCAACGAGGAGTCAGCCAAGCGAAACGCTTACATAATTGAATAAATAACAGTTACATTTTGACGGAGAGGAAATGGATAACATTTTGATAACTTCTTTCTTACCTGTTTTGTCTGCGACCAGCTCTATAAGAAAGTGAAACTAGTTGAGACTATGTTGATTTTAAAGATTGCTCCTTCTGGTAGATACGAGTTCGGACCGTGAAACGCCTCACTGAATAACACTGCAATCATCTAAACTCTCTTGAAGGCTTTGGCGCTGAACGGAAAAACAATCAGAAAAGGCTCTCGGGAAGTTGAGGGCATGAGAAAAATAAAAGTTTTTAAATTCGCCAGTAGAATGGCACGACAGCTGGTGTCCGAGTTTAGCGTATCAAACTCGGTCGCTTACGTTGCAGCAAAGACCCATTGAAAAACAAATGAGACTTTGCAATTCTTTTCAATAGATCCTCCAACCTCTTTCCGTCTTTGCCTGTGTCATTGGCTCGCAAGAATTTATTGATGATACGGCGAAATGTTTTTCTGTCACCAAGGATAGGTGTAAACATTTGTACTCGATCTCAAGCCCGACTGAGTATCTCGCGCACGGAATATACTACCTCAGAAAACTAGCTCGTTTACAAGGTAAGAAACTGAACATGGCCGTAAAAAGTCAGAACCAGCCGTCGCAAAATACAATCTTTAGTAGGCTGAAGCTTATATCAACCGCAGTCTTGTTGCTGTATAAGACGCCTTTTTACACGTCTGTTGAAAAACATACTTTACAACTCAGAACAATTACTCTTAGAGTAAGTTGAAATTTGCATACAAGAGTCTGAGGACCGCCTTTCAAGCCGAGAAAGATTATTTTAGGCGGTCAATTTGCAGCAAAATAGAAGGTACAGCTTTTAACTTTTTGAGCAAAACAATAGACCCTCCTCGCTTCAATCGTAATCTCTCACCTGGAAGTGAAAGTCTTTTGAGTAGTTCGTCTTATGATCAACGAGTTACAATAGTTGTTCCGTTCCGTTCCGTTCCGTTCCGTTCCGACGACAGAAATATGGAGGTAGTACTTCGAGCTAGTACCCGATACTTTAAATAAAAATAAACTCAAAGAATCCGCGATATATATCGGCCATAACTGAATTTCAATACGAAGTTTTTCCGCAGTTGGGACGCACAGGTATACTCCGAAGGAGAAATTTTGATTCCCAGATTACACAGACCATTGATTTCTCTTCCTATGGAAACCAGCTTTCATATGCCCAAGGAGCAATTATTTAAACAAATACCATGGTTAGTTAATGCTAAACACTTGATTGGTTTAAGGGTAACATACGGTGGTCTCATTAAGCAAAGTCGGATGTAGTGAGTGCTTTCATAATAATATCACACTTTTTGCGGTATTCACTTTACATTTATAATAAGAAGTTATCATTAGTGGCATTTCTAACCTTCTCTTACTAATGCCGAATACTGAAAACACTCATATAAGGCCGGCAGTATTAACTTTAACATTAAAAACGTATTATTCTGGTTACATTTACAAGTATGAAGCACAAGTAACTCGACTGTATTCTAGTATTAGATGAATCAAATTCCTACATGTTCCATTTTAGATCAGTCTGATTTTTTTAAGGTTTTGATGATTTAATTGGGAGTAACCAATCAGGAAAGAGATTAACGCCAGAGGAGATGGGGAGAGATAAAATGGTCCGCGGATCAGTGGATTGTGCATCGCGCAGAATGAGGCGACATCATCCGGGACTTTCGTGCGTGACGCACGCTACATTTAAATCGACCATGCATTTCAGACGTCAAGACTATAAAGAAAATGTCCTGAAAATGGTTAACAGCGCGCACGTTTCGCAAGCTTGTGAATTAAACACTTTCGCTGTTGAAAAGTCAGCATATAGGTTTTGTAGAGAATTCTTGGCTTTGAAAGGTATTGTAGATCGCCGAAAGGTTGAAAATTTTGGCTCGTCTCTACCCTAGGTCCTGTCTCTAGAAGTTCGAAGTGAGGATTGCATCTTTTGTTCTCGGTCGGCATTATATTTCTTTTTGCAGTTTTCTGCATTAATAGGGGAAGGTTAGAAAATATTTTGTGCCTTAAAGACTTTGATATCTTGTCAATTCAGTTTCAAATGTGCTGCCAGGCTCCACTGGCCCCTTTGATTTTTCAACTCAGCCAGTATTTTGATTTCCCTTTTTCAGTTTTTAGGTTTTTTTCAGTTTCGCGTGTGCTAGACAAGAAAGAGTAAGATAAATTTTGTGGTTTTTGTACTATAAACCTTTTACACTGCTTACTCGAACAGAAAGACAGTAAACTTCGAGAGGAAACTAGGTTCTGAGGAAGGAAAGGAAGTGAATTTTTACGCTATACTATTAACCATACACGCTACTTCCTCCAATAGAAAGAGAGACAGAAAACTTCGAGAGGGAAACTAGATTCTTAAGAAGAAAACTAGGTGAATTTACCCCACCTTTATATTAAGTTACTCGAGTCCGGATTTCAGTAAATATAGGACACGATCGACGGATCTGGCGCCGAAATATAACGTGGATTAGTGGAAATGCATAGCAGTAAATAACTCGCTCCTAATGGACTCGGTTGTGTCAGGGTAGATCATTCAACTGAGCCCTTGCAACAAATATCTTTGCACAAGAGGGGTTTGACTGTCCTTTCAAGTTTTTAAGCAAGATGATATACGAAGATGCT